GTAAATAGATTTTCACCCCGAATAGAAGCTGTATTCCACAGAACGCGGATTTAGTGAGACTGGTTTTAATAATATAAGCTATACGTGTGCGCATCGCTCGAGGCAGAAAGTACAGAACATAATAAATGTAGTGTCGTGTATGCTGGTGAGCTGAGTATCTTCTGAGTATGTTACCCCTTTGCGCTGGTTGCTGAGGCAGAATGTGCAGATAGTCCGGGGCTGTTTGCCCTGCCCACCCCCCTTCACTTCTCTGTACACAGCACTCAGGCACGGCTGTTCGCCCTCTCTCCCGTCTCCTACCACCAGCACGTTGGCCAGGTGAGAAATATAGCTGGATGCCAGGCGCAGCGTCTCGATTTTGGAGAGTTTTCTGTCCACCGGCTCGGTGGGGATGAGCGTCCGCAGCGCCGTGAAGGCTGTATTGACGTTCTGGGTCCGGTGTCTCTCTCTGGCGTTGGCAGCGTTCCGCTGTCCGACTACAACTCCGCCGGACTCCCGCCCGTACCCCTGATCGGTGCTGCCGTCACTCTCGCTGCGGTTCCCTTCCTCGTCGTCCGACATCAAGGTTAGGTCCGCGGGGTAAGAGAAGGGATGCGTGGAGACGGGTCTCAGCATAGTGAAAGCCATTACTCAAAGGCAGGCGGGGAAATCAATCCCTTATATTCAAGTGGAAAACAGCAGCATGGAGACAAGAGTCGTGCGTAAAAGTTGCAGTAGCTCCAAGCCAACAGACTTCCCCAATACGCTCCGACACCCTCCTCCTGTGTGATAGTCAGCGTGACAGGCAGGGCTCTTATACAGTATACAGTAGTCTGCCAGCTTTACGTGAGGGGTGGAGCAGAGGCAGACACTTCCATTTTCCCAAATGTTCGTTGTTAAAGTCTGGTGTTCATTTGATGATATGTGTAACACAAATGGACGCGTCACGTGGAGAGTGTAGAGCAAAAAGGCACAAAAGAAGATGACAAATCTCGATCGTTAAAATAAAAACAAATCTGATCTGGTCTTTATCTGTCAGCTACTGGAGATTAGGGTCGTTTTAGACAGTATGGTACGTTGTTTGAAATAACACTGAGCAAAGATGTAAATTAGTCAATATAACAATATCTCAGCAAACCACAACATGAAACAGCTGGTTACACAAATGCCCTGAGCCTTAAGTATCATTCTGAATATCTCCCTTCTGCTATACACAGTTCATGTGACATCCTATGACACTGTCTGCGAGTTAAATAAATAAATACATGTATCATTATCTGCGAACCATTTGAAGGTTAAATGGGGAAAAATACACCCCACTCAAAA